GTTTCTTACCATTAAAAAAACTTTCAACATTTTATTAGTTATTCTTTTAACATAGAGGCGTCTTATTTTATTTATCTTATTTACAGTGAACTTTGAATTGTATAAACCTCTTCTTTGGGGGCCTCCTCAACAGCAGCTGACACAAATTCTTCGGCGCCAGCTTCAGCTTCTTCCTCCGCCCTCTGTGCTTCCTTGAGTGCTTCGGATTCAAATTCTGGTTTTCCTTCATGTGTTTCAATCCTGCAAAATTAAACTTAACCAGAAAAAAGCAAAAAAATCACCGGATTATCACTTCAGCTTAGAAAATAAACCACTGTTACAACAGAGGAAGTTTAGATGGCGTTCTCTTGAACAGCCGTCTTTGCGCCGTTTTACCAAAACCAAACTGCCTTCTAGCTATCACTTCAAAGTACTGGACACAATTGTCCTTAGCATGCGTTGAGCGCATCCGAAGACACGCTTTCGCCATGTCACTGCCTTGACCTTTTTGCGCATGCGTGTTCTCAAAATGTTGTTATGCTGCTGTTTGATTAATAAAGCAAAATGCTGGTGCGATTGGTTACAAATGCAAACGAATGTCTAGTAAGGTTTCCTAAAGAACGCTGACCGTTACCATCCCACCATTCGACTGTTTTAGCCACGAAATTCGCTTCTACGTCGCTTAAAGAGCTAACTGTTACTAGTAATTTTATGTTTTTTACATCTGTGCAATGCAAAGTGCAAACTACCGAGGGTTTTCTGTGTCTGTGTGATTTGTCTGTATGTGCATTTTACCGATTTTTCATCTCGAGACCCACAAAAGCTACAAAGCTGAAAATTTGGGAACTTAATCTACGTGCAGTACGAGCCCAAATCTCCAAAATGAGCACTCTTACCCATGTGATTTCCCCGTATGGCCCCACCAAAGTTTTTGACGGGTAAGCTACTAACTCGGGAATCAGAAAAGCCAGAAAACTGAAATTTTAAGGGGATGTTCCCCATCCGTGTAAGTCTTAAGGAGTTCAAAACTAGCTCTCGGTTGTGCGTGGTCCCCACAAAAGGGCCCTTGAAAGGTTTGTGCGAGTAAGTTATTATCTCGGGAAACTGAAAAGTTAGAAGGCTGTAATCGTAAGGGGATGTTCCCCGTTCACGTAGCTCTTAATGAGTTCAAACCCGGCCACTGGGTATACGTGGTCCCATGTGCGGGCCCGCGAAAGTTTTTTGTGGGTAAGTGGCTGACTAGGGAAAATGAAAAGCCTAGGCAGTTGAAAGTTTAAGAGGATGTTTTCAAACAGTCCTGGTGGTCAGCCTCAATTCTCTTAGCTAGAAAATATGCCAGAAAATCGGTTTCGTTAGCAACAAAAACC